TAAGCCACCCAGGAATCACATCAACTGATTTCACCTTGAACATTTGTGATATTGATACTGTATTCGCCCTTCAAGTTCTTCAAAACTCTTGGTTTGGTATAGTAGCCTTGCTGCTTTAACTAAACCTAAAGAAAAAAGTCGCTGGGTGTTAAGTCAAGATTTCCGGCTGCCCACTCATACATATAATAGGGAGTTACTTTTCAATTACACTGTATATGAAAATTAATACATCAAAAATAAAAACGAGGTCTCTATATTATTATTATTTCTTAATTAGAGCCCTACGTCCTGCGTATGTCGATAAACTACATCTGCGTCCTGGGTAAGATGATAAATTACGTCCAACAGCAAGGCCTCTGATCAGGAGGTTTCGAGAAGCATGAAACCACCTCTTAATTGCTTGTGTTCCCAGGTCCACCCTGGCCCGGGGTGGTAACACCTGTTAGGGTCCCAGCTATGGGTAAATAGTTAACACCCAAACTTGTGTAAAAATAGATTTTAATACCAGAAATACTTTGTAATAAAAAAAATTACCAGAAATAATTACCAGAAATAATTTTTGAAAGAAAAATTATTATCAGCAATACTTTTTTTAAAAAATACGACAATGCAAACAGCTATACATTTTTTGAAGAAAAATTGACCAGCTATAGATTTCTGCAAGGAAAATATTCCCAGAAATAGATTTTTGAAGAAAAATATATTACCGGCATTAAATAACCCAATTGAGGTTGGTATGTCGTAAAACAAACCAAACCAAACATTAATTAAAGTCCTCACCAGTAGTAACTCACATTGTGGATTAAGTCACAGCAAGTGTCCTAAAAAATTCAACGTTCATCTCAATATTCTAGTTTTTTTCCAGCAAAGCCATGGAATTGAAAGTGCTATCTCTCCTTACTTATATTTAATTTAACTAGCAACATCTCAGTCGAATTTTGACACAGAATATGAAAGGGAAAATGTTGCAACCTGTCTGAAAGTGACCTAAGTTCAAAAGTAGTGTAAACTTAATCTTGGCCTCTTGTTTTGATTCAAGTGTAAGCTAACCCGACATCTGTTCCATGTCTGACTCAGTAGCCCTAGTGTAAACCAGGTGTATGCTTAAATTTTAGACTCAGGCGCAAGTTCGATCGATGTCCTATTTGTTTCAATCTACTGTAAACCAGATCGATGTTTAATTCTCTATTTTAAACCATGACCTGCTATTTTGACTTTAGTCTTAGTGTAAACACAATCTATACCTTTGTGACTCAAGTGTACACAGCGTCTATGTCTAGCAATTTGCCTCTAGTGTAAACTTGACCATGGCCTAGTTTTGACTCTAGTGTAAACAAACATCTATTTGACTCCAGTGTATACCGGACCTATATCTACGTTTTACACTCATGTGTAATCCAGAACTATGCCTATTTAGACAATAGTGTAAACTGTACCTATGTTTACATTTTCTCTCTAGGATAAATGTGGCCTCTGTTTGTCTCTTATTATTTCATTGGGATCATTTTCCTATAAGATATGATAAAGCCAACAAGATTAGTTAAATCTTTAAATTAACTAATCCGTCAAGTCTCGAATTTCGCGCGTCTTTTCCTCAAACTAATCGGAAGGATTCCTAAACTTCTGATATTAAAAAAAAAATGAATTTTAGCGTTCCACATCTTCCTCATCTTTTTAACGTGGTTGAGATATTTATATATATATATTTTTTCCCCATTTCTTTCAGATCTTTTTTGCTGATCTACCGGAAGAAAGAAACTCGCTGTTTGTCTGTCAAGTTTTATTCTCCGATGTTATCGACTACAAGATCAGGTTTTCTGAAATAGATTATGCGATCCTTTTTTTCACTGCACCAGACCCTGAGGATTTTCTGGATTTCTTCTTTCAAAAACATTTAGGTCTCGTACCCCATCATCAACATCAGCTGCCGCATTTCTTTTAAGGTTTACCAAAATTTTTCAGCTCTAGTTCTCAGTTTCATGTGGAAGTAAAACAAATTGATTCCACTAGTATTTGATTTAAGCAATTACACGACAAAATAATTAATACATTAATATAACAATATATAAGAAATAATATGAAATAACATATAATAGTATAATACATAACAATGAAGAATTCCTGTTGAAATAGAAAATACATCTGAAAGCATCGAGCTTATCACGCATTAATGCAATGTTGAAGCAAAAATATAGTCCACAAGACACGGAATCATATAATGGTATCTCAGTTGGATCCATTATAGTAAAAGTACTTTTGTGACGTACGGTGACCATTAATAATTGAGTATAACTCAAGACTTCAATGTTAAGATTAAAACAGTATTTAATTACAACCGCAAATAAATACTTAAGAAGAAAGTAGTAAGAGTCAATCAAAGATAATTGACCATTTTAGTGAATACTTTGTTAGTAGCGCAGCTCGACATAACATCCTCTAAATCCTTAATCAAAACCCAAATAATAGAGACACAATAATTCACACTAATTCGACTGGATAGTTTCAATCAATAGTCACTCAATAGTCACTTCAGTCAGTAGCCTGGCACCACTATTTATACACCTGGAGGAAAATATATATTCCAGAGTATCACGCTCGAATCTCGGTGTCGGCAGTTACTAATTTTCTTCTTATATAACAAGTATTAATAAGCATTGCATTTTCTTGGCTCTCATGAAAGTCAGCTCTTGACAACTCAAATTGGCATTTCTTCAAGTAAGGGGTGTAAGCTGCGTCGACTTGTTAAGACATCAATTTTGCATTGCGGATACTCGACTACCTTAAATTAAAATAGATTGAGTTAGAATCGCAATACAAAAATGATTAAATCTATATATAAAATTCTGTGACTTCCGTTAGTCCGACCCTCCATCAGTCACACCTTCTAAAGTAGCCTTCATTGACTGATCGAAATCAAATTTGAGGGAGAAATGCACACAGGTAAGGGGGTACAAAGTACTGTTGGTTTTACTAGGGTCCGTTTTTGATGGAAAAATTAAAAATTTTCTTATTTAATATAAAAAATAATCCCACTATTTAAAAACAATTTAATGATTAAAATATCAAATACACATTTACTAAAATGCAATATTGTATTTTTTTTTTTTTGCATATCTTTTAAGTTTTTATATATACAAGAATCCATTTTCCAGTTCGCCTTGCGTTTGCGAGAACTATAAACAAATCACAAGGCCAAATACTTCGAAATTTGGAACTTGGCTACAAAAAGAACTATTTACGCGTGGCTAGTTTTATGTTGCATGTTCAAGAGTAAGAAATCCTGATAAATTATTATTCTTCGCTTTTCAAAAGGAAAAAAGTAAGTTTCTTAAAAAATGTTTACGATGAAGTTATATAATCGTAAATTAAAGAAATTATTAAACCGGGAAGTGGTTTTTTCTTAAGTATTTTTCAAAACAAATCAGCCTATTCAAATTTCATCAATGGTTTTCGAAATTGAACAAAACGTAGAGTTTGTAAATCTTGACAAAAATGTTAGCGATAATTTCAACAATACTAAATACTGCGAGGATTTCAACATGCATGAACGTGTTGCCAAAAAATTCTAGTATTGCAAAAGTCAATACCATGGACCGATCAGAAAGGCGAATTGTGGTCTTCTAAGTGTAGATATGATGTGGTACAAGGGCACCCAGGAAGCGAAGACCGAACTCACTACACAGTCGTAATTGTTCAAGAGAGACAGGCTTGCTTAACCATTAGAAAACGTTGAGGTGCCTCTATCAGAAAGACTGATGGATAGTGACATAGCTTTCATGGCTGTAAAATTCGTGTGATATCATCCTATGATCAAACTGAAAAATATGTCATTTCAGAAAAAGAAAACTTCTACAGAAGGTCAGTTACTCTTTTTGTACAAGAAAAAAGAAACAACAAAAATACGGAAAAAAAGACAAAGAATGGTACATTAAGGCACATCTTAATGCTACCTCCGCTATTTTTGAACGCCACTGCTTCTTTGATGGGAAGAACACTTGAACACATGAAGATTCAAAAAGCAATGTTGACGCCAACATATATTAATCGTAGATCTGTTCTTTTTATGTGCCGTGTCCCTTCAGGACATACGCGATTATAGTTCTCCGCTTTTCCTATTCCCTTGTGGCTCTCAAAAAGTTGCGTCCCTCTGCCACATCCGCCTGACTACGTTCACTTGCTTAAGCCCACCTGGTATGTCATGCGTTGATTTCCCTTGTATCTTTTTCACTCTATGCGACCTGTGAGTATCAGATTCTACAGAAGTTCCTTTCTTATGTCATATTCTCCAGGTCGTCCTTTCTTATTACATGTCAGATTCTCCAGGCCCTCCATTCTTATTACATGTCAGATTCTCCAGGTCGTCCTTTCTTATTACATGTTATATTCTCCAGGTCGTCCTTTCTTATTACGTGTCAGATTCTCCAGGCCCTCCATTCTTATTACATGTCATATTCTCCAGGTCATCTTTTCTTATTACGTGTCAGATTCTCCAAGTCGTCCTTTCTTATTACGTGTCAGATTCTCCAGGGCCTCCTTTCTTATTACGTGTCAGATTCTCCAGGGCCTCCTTTCTTATTACGTGTCAGATTCTCCAGGGCCTCCTTTCTTATTACATGTCAGATTCTCCAGCCACTCCATTTTATTACGTGTCAGATTCTCCAGGTGCTCCTTTCTTATTACGTGCCAGATTCCTCATGCCTTCGTTTCTTATTACGTGTCAGATTCTCCATGTCCTCTTTTCTTATTACGCGTCAGATTCTCCATGCCCCCCTTTCTTATGACGTGTCAGATTCTCCAGGCCCTCCTTTCTTATGACGTGTCAGATTCTCCAGGCCCGCCTTTCTTATCACGTGTCAGATTCTCCAGGCCCTCCTTTCTTATGACGTGTTAGATTCTCCAGGGCCGCCTTTCTTATGACGTGTCAGATTCTCCAGGCCCTCCTTTCTTATGACGTGTTAGATTCTCCAGACCCTCCTTTCTTATTACGTGTCAGATTCTCC